TCGCGATTTACACAAAATGTTGCAACTGGTCTTTTGCAATAAGCGAATCACGTTGCTCTGAATACTCTTTGCAACATCTAAGAAGAAAAATTATTTCCTCGCGGCAGCATAGGAGAAAAAAGATTACATAGAAATGAGATTATTGAGAAATAGAGGAATGTCAAACAATAGATGTTTCACAATCATGGTCGCATAATCGATTACGATCCGTCGCGCTGGCATCGAACTATCGCGGCTTAAACTCCGCCGAGATATTCGATCGACTAATCGAATGCGAATACGATGAAATGCCACGAGTAGAACCCATGTTGATCAACGACGATCCCAATAGATAATTTCAATCGTCTATAGCTCAGTGAATTTAAGGCGTGCGAGACGTATAAATCATACAATCAAGTCCCGCTGTTGTACATTATTAGGATTTTGTAATGTCGGAGGATAATCCTATAATAAGAAATAAGGAATGAGGGTAATCTAATTGAACATTGGAAAGAAATAGAACGCTATTCAAAATAATGATTTGTTTCATTATAATAAATCCATTAAAATTGGAGTAATTTGATTAATAATATTATATATTAAACTAAAATAAAAACTGGAGAAAGAAGATATCTGATTCATAATTAAGATTTATAATTAAGTTATATTTGAACTTTCAAACGAAATAATCACAATAACGACTAAATTTCGTCAATGAAATATTCATTAACGATATTTAGACAGTATATACGTCAGACAACAGTATGGACTATAAGTTTACATTCGCAATAAAATAACATACTGCGAATTATAACTTTGATGAATGCCTGAGATTATAGATACTTTAAACGCATGACCGTATTAGACGATACAATTTTTTCGGTTAATCAATTTCTATTGTAATGACGCCGTCGTCTCGTTCAATCGAACAACATAACGCATTAGTCTCATGTTGCATGCGGGACCGTTGCACCTGCACGCGGGGTAATATTCGCGGGGAAGACACGAACTGCACCGAGGCGCACAGGCGCGATCGTTGGTTTTTCTCATGAGTCATCGCGCAAACCCCCCCATCATATTTTCGAACAACGAGCCGGCGGTGTAAGCGTACACGCGTGTAAGCACACCCTTCTCCCTCTTTCTCTCTTTAGCTCCCCTCGCGCCCACCTCATTTTTTCCTCGCGTCCGCCGTGCGCCGCGTAACGCACGCGGCGCGGCGGCGAGGAGCGCACCGTGCGCACTGCGTATGTACACGTATATATGCGCGCAACAATAAGCGTAACACGACGTGGATGGAACGCCACCCTCGCGCGCCACGCCGACGCAACCTGCGTGGAACTCGAACATTGCCGAGCAATGCGATCGTGGTGGAGGGCCGTGTGCGCCAAAGTGTGAGTGTACGCCGCGTTGTATTGCGTACCCACGCGCGTGTGTGCGTGTACGCGCATCGCGCGTTCCGTATATATGTATCGTATGTATCGTTTTTCGCGCACATACCGGACACGCGCTACACACACCGTATACGCACACATGCGCACACCCGCGCGCGATGCGCTCTCCGAACACACCGCCGCCGCCGCCGCGTTCGCCGCATGAACCTCCGCAACATTCTCTCGCGAGTGCACGTGTTGCAGTCGCCGCGTCGCTCGGGCGCTTTCTCTCCGTCGCGCTTTACCACCGTCCTCCCCCCCCCCCCCTCGCCCCATCGCGTTCGTTCGCCGGAGTCTCGTACGTGCGTACATAAGCAAACCTGTTGTTACCGCTCCTCCCCCGGCGTTATCTCTCTCGCGCATCGGGCGCCGATTTTTATAGGCGAGGTGATTCACGAGGCAAGTTCATCAAGTCTCCTTCCCCGCCTTTCCGCGGACGCATCATGCGCTTTCACGGGGATTAGGGGGACGCGCGGGTGTCCTTCCCCCCTCCCCTTCTCGCCCTTTTACTTCTATCTCTCTGTACTTCCTATGTCTATCAGCGGCGTAAGCGAAGGGTGCTCGCACGATTTCGAGCCTCTCTCACCGCGACGACCGTAAATCGCGTCTTGCGAAACCGAGCAAGAAGGTTGCTTCGGCTTCGCTTATACAAAGAGGACATACTTTAAGTATATTACACTCCATTCATGCGCACACTGAGCGTTATAACTGTATATTTGAGTTCAACTCAAGAGAGAGATCCACAGCTTTACTCTAGCACTCTTAAATACTCTTCCTCGATAGAGGAAAGAATTGTGGTCTGAGGTTTACACATTATAGAGACGACATTAAACGAGCGGGAATATGTACTTACGTCAAGAAAAATATAGACAAAATTCGATATGTTTGATTGAATTTTTACTTAAATATTATAAAATTACTGTCACATTCAGATATAAAAATTTAACAATTCTTTTGGAATAAATCGGTTTCCAAAGTTCAATATAGTTTTTAAATACTATATCGCGAAATGCATTGCCATTGGAAAAATATTGGTGAAGTAAATACAGTGGCTTACAGAAATTAACAGTAGCTATTTTCGTTCTCACGCCATAAAATCGTAATTTATGAATCATGTTTTCTCTATAAAGCATGTCCCATGATTCACGGTCAAGCCTATTCTCTGATTACACTATCGCTTGACGTACAGCCTTATATTTAGTTCTCTATCAGCAACTTCACGCGCTATCAGTAGCATTTCTATATGCGTATGTATACGCATTGATTTGAACACACTAGAACACACTTTGCAGCGCGAATGTACACTGAAGCAAACGGACGAGAGAAAAGAGAGAGAGAGAGAGATAAAAAAAGAGAAGCTGCGTCGCCTTATCTTTACCCCTAAATCGAACACGGATGAAATTCCGAGAGTCATACAAATGGATAACACCACAGGGACGTCCGCGGCTTCCTGCGCTGTCGTTGTTGGCGTTCCGATCAGCGAGGACGATCAGCTGTTACGCGATCCACCCACCCACACATTCACGCGCGCGACAAGATTCTGCCTCTAACATGACCCAACCGCAACCACGCAAATGGGCGTGTAAGAGGTAATCAGGACAGTTCTTCTTTGGAAGGTAGCGCCGACGAACGTTACGCTTCTTGCGATCTTGATATGCTACATATTCCAGCTGTGGCGGTATTACTGATGACATCATTTGTCCTTGTTGTCACCGGAGCACAAAATGTAATTTTACTTGGGAGAAAAGACTAATGCGTGAAGATTACATTGAAAACATAAAGTGATGAATTAAGGCAAAAATGGCCGTGTAATGTCCTTGTTTCTTCTCTGCAGCTTTCTATTTTATTTCCAAAGCATCATTTTACTGAATTACAATTTTGTATTAGGTTATAGTGAAATGCAAATTGTTATATATATATTTTTAAGAAAATTAATCTATATAAAATTAATTTTTTCAAAAAAGTAATTAGGCTATTGATAAAATTAATCTATATAAAATTTTATAATGTTTTATACGCCAAAATTGTGTTTGATAAAATGACGTAATAGCGTTGCAACGCCAAATAGAATATCGCGCAATTATATGTACAATATCAAGATGAATAATGTGATAAATATCTGAAGACATCCTTTATGGTTACCGTAAAAATAAGATATAACATCTTTCGGTTGGAACTGTGCGAAAACATGGACAGTACTGTTTCGTAATGTTTACGATGACACGAAGCAGTTGGTGCGAATCGAAAAATATGAGTTCCCTTTACTCATGTTTTTAATGAGATAATTTATATGCGCAAAGTTGTATGGTGTCGGGGAGTTGAATTTGAAACTTATAAATATTATCATAAAAGTATCGAGTCTTGGAGCGATGGAAATAAAATTATAGAGACCAAGAATCGCGACCTACTTCTCGTATAAAGTACTCATAAAATATAACGTCTATATTTAACTTTTCGTGTCATTAAAGTAGTTACAACAGAAAGAGAGATAAAAGAAGATTATAACTTTAGATAAGAAAATGTCGAATTTTCATCATAAGTTTTAGTGATAAATTTTTTGAACAATTCGATTTCATCGTTTTTAAATAAATATGTTAAAATGTAATAAATATGCTACTCTATTATCTTGTAGTAGTAAAAATAAAATGTTTCACATAAATTTATTACAAAAAAGACACATTTTAAATTTATGAAGCTTTATTAAAAAAGTTTATGATTAAAAACTGGATAAACTGTATAAAATGTTGAAAGATAATAAATGGTTTCTTCCTCTCCTTTTTCGGTCTTTCTATCTTTCGTTCTACGGCCTTGCACGCGAACTAACCATAAATGAGAGAATCATAATGAAATTAATGTATTATCCTCGCCCGTCCCTAAACCGGCCCGATACCGATCGAGATCACTAGTCGAATTTATGAACCCCACACCCACCTTAATTCTTCCAGCGCAGCGGAACAACAGAAGCAACGGCAGCAACGGAGGGCCCATGGTCACCGCGTAATTCACGCGGGGAAAAATGTTGCGCGCGCTGCGATTCGATCGCATTCGGCGGGCATTAAAAGCGAAAGGCGAGCGAAATAAAAAGTCTCGGAGCCGCGCGAGTGAAAAGAATAAGGGCGCCGTGAGCCCTCCGGTAGCGTATAAACGTACAAGCGAGCGTAGAAGGGTCCGTGGCTGGGCGTTCTTTGAGATGGTCGATCGCTCCGCGGCGCGGAATCAATATTGTTGGATTGCTTCGATAACGCCTCGTAAATATAATAAAGCCCTCCAACCCCTCCCCGTACCCTTGCCCCACGTAGCGTCTCGCGCAAGGCAGAGCTGCCCAAGAAGAGATAATGGTCGGAGCCCTGGGCACCCAGTGGGCCGGTTGGAGGGGACACGCGTTGGTTAGGGCCCCACAACCCTCCTTTCGTCCTCGCCTCGCTCTACCACATCGCTCGCGCTTTCTCTCCTTCTCCTTCTCTCCCCAGTCTGGTTTACTCCCTCTCCGTCTGCCCCACGAACCCTCACCACGGCGCGTCGCGGGCAGACCTGCCGGGCACCAGAAGAGAGTCGACTCAGTGAGTTTCAGCCCGAGCCGGCGAACGCTTGGCTCTCTCCCACGGTGCGGCGGTCGCCCGTATCGTCCGTTCTCCGAGAACGTCCGTGGCGATCCCCTGAACACCTCTCGGTGGCTGTGTGTGGTCCCGGTCCTTTTTTCTCAGCCAGTGGGTTCCAGTGCGGCTCGATAACGGGGGACGACGCGAGTCATCTACGACTGTCGTCGACAGCTTTTAGAGCGACTTATTCACGGAGCCGTCTAAGTGAACTGACTCCGATTTCGTGATTCACAGGTAGTCTCAGATAGTCGCGGAATCGGACGATTGCGCGTGATTAAGGCCGGCGTAAGACCTTTTTCAAAAGCACTCCCCGGGTTTCGAGAGTGAGCGCACTCGTGATTCCGGCCAGTGGCCGGACAGTCATCCGCCCGCGGATCCCTCCGAAGGCGCGTGTGGAGACTTCGACGACCGATACGGAGGATGTCATGCTCCGTGGACCACCCCGGCTGCCGCGGCCGTCGCCGTGTCGCGGTGGCGACGATCCTGCCGGCTATCTTACGGTGAGCGTCGTGTGTGTGCGTGTTGCCTCCCTTGTGTCATAGTACCGACGTAGAGCGACATAGAGAAGCGACGTGGTGTGACTCTCGGTGAGCGTCGTTGACGAGTCAATGAGACTCCAGAGACGTGGAACGACGCAGCGAAGCGCAGCCGGCGTGATTCTTCGTGGTGAGATTGACCGGTCTCTTCGTGTGATAATCGCGGAAGGAAGAGGTCTCGATGTTGTTGTTGAGCCGATCAGCGTGTGATTTATCCGAGGAAGAATATCGCGTGAATATCGCGGGCTGCACGGAGCGCGTTTCCTACGAGTGACAGTACGTGATTTGGTGTGCGTTTGCCTCCTTATCTACGTTTTCACGCGACGCCCATGGAAATTTGTGCCAATCACGGATTAATGCATGTCGGCAATTGCAGCATGGAGGACATAAGTGTGAGTATTACATGTTGTCTCTGTTCTGCCGTAAAAGCGGAAATAGGATTTCCAAGTTTCTCCCGCCCCACTCTCATCCGTCGCAAAAATTAATTACACAATTCCTTTGGATATGATTCACGGCAACGCCGACGCTACGATATATGGTGTGCGCGAGTGTGGCATCTTGGAATCCTATTAAATTCTTACAATTTATTGCGAAAATAAATGAACATCGAATTCCGCTCTGTATACAATATGTTCTTTGTATTCTTAAATAATAACAACACTCGAATATACTTGAATTACTCATATTCAGATAATACGAATATTTTTCTTTTAATCTGTATATTATCGTTTTATTTTCGCATCATTAGTGTTTAAAAAAAAAATTCCTTTTTTTATTTACATAATCATAAAATCTTGATAAACGTTAATTAAATTTCACTTTAACATTTATGGGAACGATTCACGGATAGAAAAGAAATAACGTGCGATGTGCATTCTGAATTGATGTCAATGCCGAGCGAGAGCTGTCGCTTGTCTTTCCCGCGCCGAAGGCGCCGTTGTAAAAATTGCAAAACAACGAATTGGAGTACGAGAAACGAGTTCGTCTACTTCGCCAAAAGTATCCCGAGATGGATCACCGTCGACGCGCCTGACAGCCGGTGTATTAAGGCAGCGACAGACAAATTTCCGCCGGCGGTGCGCAAAAAACGGCCTTCTCGCGGAGACGAGGATGGATTCGGTCGCTGGTTGCACCCCGGTCGATTAGTCTCGGGAGACGCGGTAGCGGAGCCGGTGCTCTGAATCGGCGGCGGCGGCGGCGGCGGCCATCGTCCAAGAGCGGCCGCGTGTACATCGCACACGCGTGCTCCGCGTGCACGCGAAGAAGAAGACGACGCGCCGAGCGTGAGCGCGCGTTCCCTCGCGCGTCGGACGGCGAGCTTATTAGTTGGCATTGGCCGACTCTCACGCGTCTACCGCACGGGACAATGCGCCCGGGGATTGCACATTGTTGTTTATATTTACGCGTCGCGGCATAAATCTTCGTTTAAGTCGCATTCAGCCCGGCGCGTACGCTGAGAGCATGGGCGCGCACACATTCGCACACACCACACCGGCTGCGAAACGCGAACGCGCACGGTTCGTCACGGATAACGCGCGGTCTTCATTAAACTTAACTTCTTTGCGTGCCGACCGGCCATTAAGGACGGTGGACCGGCCTACGACTAATTTGTACTGTAAATGAGATCTCGAGGATCGTTACCCGCGTGAAACAACGTCATTCTAACGGTCGGAGCCCGCTGCTGCGTGATTATCGCTTTTGGCTGACGAATGGGTGAATTGCTAAACACTACTTGACATTTATTTTCTATCGTTAGTTATTTTGCAACTTGCTTCCGTAGCGTATATATGCAGGTGCGACATAATTGATTTTATCAACGTCCGTAAAATTTAATTAGCCTACACGCGAGATTATGTTTTAAAATCGTTTTGGAATATGTGATAACGGTGTAAAATACACTGTAAATATATACAGACAAATTGGCACTACATTGCACAACGCGAAACAAATTTTGGAATCAAAAACTGATGTGAATTTGCAATTATTTTCCGCCAAATGTATTTTATCATTTTCACATGTTTCTTTAAATAAATGGTACTTTAATAAACTAAATTGTTTGATGGTAATTTGAAAGAATAGTTCGTGGCAATTATCAAATTTAATTCATCTAGTCAATGCAAATTTTGACACGTGGTCAGATTTGTTATATTTGCACAGACTTCGTGAATAATTTACTGCATAGAAAACAAGCAAGTTCTCTAGCGAAACTAGACAGTGTTTGAATGGCTAAGACATTAGCAAACGCGCGTTTATATCCATCCTGTACGTTATATTGTGGTACAGCATGTTGTATCCGGCGTAGTATTCATGAACGTATTAATGAAGCACAACCACACTTCCGACCGAGACAATGGCCCTACCTATCTCCGTATCTCTGTATAGCGAATAATGCTTCCGAGATTAAGACATTATTTGCGAGATACACTTACATCGCGTGGCATTTCTGTGTATAGTAATGACGGCGTACCGCTTTCGGGATTGTCTATATGCGTGCGCGAAAGAGAGACGGGCCGTGATGACTACCTTCGGTGTTCGCGCTGAAGCAATTTTCACCGGCTAACTGACCTACCTGCTTATACGTGCCGCGATCAAGACCGCCCATCCGCGGAGCATTTATATCGCTTGTAGCGGCCAAGAAGTACGGGCGTACGTAATATTTTGCCTAGGCACGAGCACCGCTCGGGATATACAGCTATCGGTAAATTATGGCCATTAAATTATGAATATAGCGGCGTGCGCGTTTTGCGAGAATTATTTTGCCATGTAAAGGGGAATTTATTCCCCGCGCGAACATTAATTCTTCGTGCGAGTAATGGCATGGTGAGGTGCCGAGATGCGGACCTTGCGAATCGATCGCGGATCGAAATCACGCCGTAACATCAGCAGGCAAACGAAATTTTTAGGTTCGACATTTTTTTATGCAATTGATAGAGGCGGATTTCAATGCACCGTTTTAATTTACGCCGTTAAATCGGCTCTATCTGAATGCGGTTATTGTTATCAATTAAAAAATACGCGCTGCTCCGAGAGACGGTGACGCGATCGTAACCGCCTCGTTAAAAATTTACAATTACGTAAGTATATGGCACATTGAAGAATATGTCATAAACAGCCAACACAGTAAATGCCGATTATAAACTATTGTAATGCCAGCAATCTTGGCGTGCCGTAGATAACACTGGCACGCGAACATACGTACGATTCTTTAATAAAACAGCGATATAAAAATTCGGATGTTGCAAATTTTTCTCCAAACATAAATTGCAAAATACATTAATGAAATTCTACCGGTGATATTAAACTTCAAATTGAAGGATACCGCTATTTAATAAATCGTTAAATGGCAGATGCGTTCTCAGAGACCGGCACATTTGACCAGATCTATCAACGCTATGCTTTAAACAGTTAGACGATTCTGCTTACAACCGGTTACTCAACTCCATACACCACGTAATCTTCTCGTTTTTCCCGAAGAAAATTGTGGCGTATCGTATGGCTTCGATTACGTGCTGCCTATACAAACACCTGGAGTGTACATACATGAGCCCCTAGGACGATGCCCGAAGATGGAGAGTCTATGCGGAGGATCTGATGCAAATACATAAATTCTTAGCCTTGCTATGCGATATCGTGAATTCGATAATCCCTTTTCCCCTGCCTTTCCGGACTAATAAAAATTTTTTCTCTGAACATTAGAAGCTTTCACTTCTAACGTTTCAAGAATTGCGAGTAAAAAACGAGGAATAAAACGATACAGATGTTTGCAGATACCAATTTATATACAGATTTATTCTTCCTCCTTTCTAATAATATATCTTTTTAAAACTACTTAATAGCGACACAATGTCGAAACATCTGTAAACAAGGAATAAAAATCTGGATACTATTAAAATATATTCTGGATTCTAATTGAAGGATCTTTTAACACTTGCTATCTCCTTTCCTTTACGGTCATGCGCTACAGCTTTTTTTCCTCTTTTTTTCTCCCTTGTTCTCCTCACCTCCGTGTGTCTCGCCATTCGGAATTCAGGGAGAGAGAGGCCCTCTCACGATTATCAAAGGGGAGGAGTCGGTGGCGCGAGGAAACAGCGTCAGCGGTCTTCGCGCCAGATAAATCTACGTCGCGATCTGCGTTCAAGAACGTCGTTATCTGCGTGTGTATACGCGCGCGCGCACCTGCAGGCCTCGCATGTGCGTGCCCGGTTGTACGGGAGCGGGCTATCGTCCATCGCGATGGAGGTTTCCGAGGGTATGTCGGACTTAACGATCAGAAGAGGCGTATGGACCAGCTGTTACTGATATCACCCTAACCTCTAGTTTTGTTTTTCACGGCGAAATGAGTTGATGAATTATGGCAATGTTTATGATGGGGGGAGGCTTATTCCGTTGGAGAAGGAGATGGTATTTTACGAAGATGAATCTAGTGGCTGTCAATATTAACTAGCTCGTATTTAAGCGTTAAATATGATTACACTGAAAGGTTTATTCGTTACACGAGAGAGACGTAAATAATATATTTCATGACTTACGAAAGCTCGGACATTGTAACTGTCGGTCGCCCACCGGAAATCACTGAACTATCGTTAAAAAAGTAACAACTATTCTATTGACACATATATAGGTTACAGCAGTGAAAGTAGAAATGCGAGTGATGCATCGGAAGTGATGCTTTCGTCGGGAGTAACTCTCATAAATAATGTATTTTCTGACACACGCGCGTAATCGATGCACCTGTGCGCACGCAAAACTCGTTGCGCGATTTACCTACTCTTGTCATCCGATTCGATTACCGTAAGAATCGGATTTCTGCATGATTGCCGGGAAATATGTATGTATGCCGACAGGGTGGACTTTTGCGCCGAGTTGACGCACGGCACGGGAATCAACGAGTCGGAAACCCAAGCGCGTACCTATCTACCTACCGCTTCCCGTAGCCTATCGCCGGACGAGTACACGAATCACCTGCTTATCTAATTGCCGTCAAGACTACGCGAGTACATGTTCGCTCTCGAGCACGCGTATCGCATCTCATTAGGGTCTCGTTGAGGCCTTGTAAATTGCAAAATTGTTTCTCGCGTTATCGTGGTAGCTCTTCCTCGGATTTTGCGACTAAAGAAATAAAAGCACCGTACTTTACTTAGAAGCTCGTAAAACGGATGTCTTGCTTGAAGCACTTTGAGAGTGCTTTCTGAATTATTTTAAAATAAAGAATACAACCGCAAATGCACAGTTTGGTCCCTTTGCAACAGCGTTGATCATAAAACCATCCGATACGTTTCACACATCTGTCTTCCTGCGAACACTACTGAACACGCGTGTATGACGTGCATCCATATCGGAACGGAAGCCCGCGAACCGCAGACATGTTTCATCCTCGTGCCACGCTCGCAAG